ACCAGACCAACCTTACAAGAAGAGATGCTAAAGGGAGCCCTTTGGACAGAGGAGCAACAACAGCAACAACAACTGACCATTAACACACATGATGATATAACCCAGAAACCAACCCAGCTATTGAAGTATCCAAAGTAAATAAGCCTACAAGATTGTAAACAGGGAACCAGAGAGAGACATCAATTGACAAATGAGGACAACTACACACCAGAAAGAAGGAAAAAACTGTGTCGTTACAGAACTTCTAGATGGTAGAGAAGTCAAGACAACTACAAGACAGAACGGACTGTTCTAAACTTGGGAAGAAAACTATAAATCACAGGGTAACCTCAAAGAAAAATGATAAACTTTCATGTCAAAAAAGAGGACCATCATTAATATTCAGCAAATACTAAAACAACAGCAATGAAGGAAGTGATAACACGATTCATAAACAAAACGAGCTCAGCATAGAAAATTATATAGAACAAAGAAATCGACACCACAAAAAAGCGCATGACAAAAATGACAGCAAAAAATTCGTATTTGTCAATAATTACATATCTGGCAAAGGACTTATGTCTAAGATTTATAGCAGAAGAATGGATGACCAAACTATGGTACATACACATAATGGAATGTTATGCAGCACTAAAGAATAATGTAGAGTCTGCAAAACACCATGTAATATGGATGAACCTGCAGGATATTACGTTGAGTGACATAAGTCAGTCACAGAAGGACAAATATAGTATTAGTTCGTTGTTGTGGAGGGTCAAGGAAAGGTTTGCATATGGAGGGAAACTTTCTTTGTTGGTTGCCAGGGGTGGGAAGGGAGGGGAGGAACACTGCAAAAAAAATGCATCGACCCACGTCACTTTAGCTTTGTATATTTCACTGTACATAAATCATATTTCAATATAATGCATTTAAAAAAAAAGGAAGGAAGAGCTAAGGGCAAGGATCTACAGATAGGTGAGGGATGGGAAGGAGAGGAGGAGGCAAGAAGTATTCCAAGGAACTTGGCCCTAACAAAGGAGGGAAAGAGGAAGACAAGTTACAGCTGAGTTGGAGTGCAGGGAGCTTCAGGAGCAGGCAGGTGAGGGGCTGGAGACCACGGGAGGGACAGGTAGGTCCTGGGGCAGGAGAGCAGTATGGGAGCCACAGCCCATAACCTGGGCACAGCCTCCAGGAGTTGGGAAGGAGCAGTAACCAGCAAGGGAGCCTGAGATTCTGGGCTCCAGGATATGGGTTAGCATTTGGAGCAGAAGGTATGGGTGAGACACCCTTAGTGTTTCTCAGTCATGGACGGTGACAAACCTGGACACATGCTGAGAACTTCTAGGTGGGGTGGGAAAGGCTCGCATGGGCCTCGGGTACTGATGAGGGAAGATCCCCCACATGGGAGCTGTTGTTGTAGTTGTTATGTGCCATTGAGTCGGACCCGACTCATAGCGACCCCTCCTTGGATTTCCGAGGCAGTATCACTACGGAAGTAAATTGTCCCATCTTCCTTCCAATGAGTGGGTGGTGGGTTTGAAACACCAGCCTTCTGGTTAGCAGTCAAGTGCCTTAG